GCAGGTTGAGTTTTCAGCAGAGCAGTTTGCTCCTCCCTGCTTTCCAGCAAGGTGTGGCTGTGGTGTGAGTGCGTGGGCGGTGCGGCAGGCTGGCCCCGGCCTGGCCCCGCTCACGCCCATTCCCCCGTTGGCGCAGTCTGGTGGCTGGAAGAGGTGGCAGGCGTGCGGAGCAATGCCAGCCCTGGCTGCTGCAGCCTCTGGTTGTCCTGCCAGCGTGGGTTGGGGCCGGGCGTTGGGCGCGGGTGGGTTTGTTGGAGGTCAGGAGCGGCTTTGCTCTTCATCTGCCGTATGAGCGTGTCCAGGAGTCGGAAGGAGGTGTCAGCTTCGAGGCGGACTTGTTCCCAGGCGCAGGCGCTGTAGTGGTGGGACTGGAGGAAGTTCTGGATGCGCGTGAAGTTTTTGTGGATGTTGAGCAGCAGGTTGCGGGGCCCGTGCCTCTTGCGGAGCGTGCTGTTGTCTGGGAAACATTGCTGCAGGTGTTGGATGTAATGCTCGAGGTTGTTGAGGAGCTGATGCCGTGCCTCGGCGTCCCAGTGTGGTGGTGTTCTGGAGCTGCTGAGGATGGCCAAGAGGTGGTTCAGGATGCGCAAGGCGGCGTCGGCGGCGTGCCCAGGGCTGTCGGTGTGGAGGAGGACGTCAGGGAAGGGTGTTGAGGGCTGGTGGTGGCAGTCCTGTGGCGGGGTGGGATCCATGGCCTGGAGGAGCTGGAGGTTGTCCCAGGAGAAGGTGTCGTCGCGGGGCCGCAGGTGGTGGCAGGCGGTGGCGGTGGCCAGCGGCGTCAGGAGGAGCAGGAGCGTGGCGACGGCGTGGCACAGGCAGGCCCGCGGGGTTGCGGGCGCAGCCATGGTGGGTGTGTGGGTGGTGTTGGGCAGGAGGCTGGTGGTGAGGCTTGTTGGTGGTGCTGGTGAGCGCTGTGCTTGGGGAGGTGCGGCGTGTGCGGCTTTATGTGGTGCGGCGGCTTTCCCTTGCTCGCTTTCCGGTGGCGGCGAGTTGCCGCTTGTGGTTTCAGTTTTGGCTGGTGGCTTTGGTGGTCTTGGGGAAGTACGTAGTGGAGGTACGGGTGGCGGCGTGTGGGGAGGGCGGTGAGGGTGCTGTGCTGGGGGTGTGCTGGGTCTTGGTGGATTTTGGGGGATGTCGGTGTAGTTACTGAGTGGGTGATGCGAAAGTGGTAGGTTAGGAGCGCTTTGGACAGTCGTGGTACTGACGGTGTGGTTTTTTTGGTGGTTTCTCCCTTTGCCGTCTAGTTGGCTCTGACTGCTGTTTTGTTCCTCTCTATTTCCCTTCCGGCTCAAGTCTCTTTTTCCTTATGTCACGTTGTGATATTGCTTGTGGCTTTTCTAGTTTCGATATGTGTGTCATCATGGCTTTTGTTTGATTACCTAATTTCTTTTTTTCTTTTTTGGAGTGAATGCATTTTATTCTGTTTCAAAGTGTGTGTAGGGTAAGTTTTCAAAATGATGTGTTTTTCAGGGATCTCAGGAGCTCTTGAAGTACAGGTGTTGTTTGCGGAGGTGGCTCTGGTTCTAAGCCGTTTAGCAGGGGCTCCGTATTTAATAATGAAGCTTCCTGAGTGGGTTCACTTTGCTTTTTGATGATTTGAGCCTTCTTGATCCTAGAATGGTAGAATCAATCATGCTGGTTGGGAGGGACCTTCAAGAT